TACCAACAAGATACGAACTTATTCGAAGCTTCAAATCACATCAAACAACATAAAAATAACGAATCGCACCTCAAATAAATCTTCCTAATTTGGATGGAAATAATTTCTTATGATGTTAAGAAAAATAAAACAATGTACTCTATATGCTATTTCAATTGAAGTTCTTATTTTAATCAAAATAAAATATTTGTGTGAAGTAGTAACATAATTTGATTTCGCACGAAATTTTAAAAACAAATAAAAGAGAATTTTTAAATTTACAATTTAAACATGTCATTAAATTTGTGTGTTTTACAAGATATCTAAAACGTGCCATCTTAACCGTGTATAATATTTGTATGACTAAAAAAAATTTAATTTATAATAAAAGAAAATTTTTAAAATTAAATTATTTTTAAATATATAATTATGAATAGACTAATAAGAAAGTAATGTCATATAAAATAAAACAAGGGAGTAATGTTTAAATGTGAAATTATTATGTAATTTACTAAGAGAATATATTTAGCAATATGCAACTTCTTTTTTTGTTTTAACATATAAAATATAGAAAAAAAACTTGAATGGAGAAAACCAAGAGTGAGTCCCATGACATTTCCTGTCATGTATAGTAGATCTGAAACAATTTTTTTAAAATGATAAATATTTGTGATACAAACTAATAATGCTAGACATCAAAGAAGAACAAAATTAAAGTAAATAAAAATTTACCAACTCTGTGATTTTATGAAATGAATGTATTAGAATAATATTTAAACATTTGGAATGACTGGACATAAATGAAAGTTTATACCGACAGTGATGTGCACCTCATTTTCTCTTTCTATTCTTTTCTTGTGAAAATAATTTTTATCTTTATAATAAAGAAAATCTCATAAATTTTCTTATATTGTGTGTATTTTATCATATCCGAAAATAGTAATAATAGTAACAATCCAAAATTATACTTATAAAACTTTTACTAAAATACTTCACTTAAAAGAAAATACTACACTAACATAATATCTAATGGTATCAAGGTTGTAAACTTACAGGGTCTCATAATAATAATGTCTTAAACCCTCTATAACCTCCTAATAGACATAATCCCTTCGAACTCATGTGGATTTACTACGGCACATCCTAATGCTAAGGTACGGGATGTAACACACACAACCAAAAATAACAACTATACTTGCCTAATAGTACTTACATCACAACCAAAAATATACAACCTATAGAGTTCAATAGCTCCACATTCCAGAATACCAGAGTGCATTAAGTCTACTTCTTCCCATTACCCTTCTTTGCTTTCAACTTGGCCAATCTTTGTTTGTTAAGCTGGTTACCAGTAATAGCATTTTTTTTCCCTGCCATTGCAGCTTATTTGGTGAGAATAAAAGTTTTGATGGCTCACTCACACCACTGGCATCACCAACTAATCAAATGCCACAAAGATCCCATTTGCTGGTATATTTCTTTAACCTCACATTTACAATGTGCCTGTCACTACTTTCGTTCACCTCATATCCATTGTCTACACTGCCATTTACATGACACTTCAATGCAATCCTCATGAATTAGTTGTGCAACTCCATGGTTTTGGGATTGTACTCATTTCCCCATGTCATCACCTCAGCTTCATGTTCATTAACCATGTTCATCACATTGATTCTAATATCCTCAAGCATCTTAATGATTGGCTTGTGCCTTTCTTGCAAGATCCATGCATTGAATGATTCAGTCAAGTTGTTGTCCACAGACTGGTTCTTGCAAACAGTATCAAAGAAATGCCCTACTCCAATATTTTGGTGGATACATTAACAAATCCTCAACAGCTTCCTTTCCATCATCATCTACTTGACTCGTACTCTTTATCTGATCTTTGAAGTCCTCTTCATAAGTAGACCACGCAGCCCACCAAAGGATTTTTTGTACTCACCAGACCCCCATCTCCTGCACTAATTTGCTTCTATATGTCTTATACAAAATCTGAAGTGTGCCTCAGGAAGAACAGTTTGGATTGAGTCGATCAACCCCTACAAATAACAGTACGAATAAACTGAGTAAATATCATCAAATAACAGTACCAAGAAACTAAGAAAATAGATGAAAATAACAGTACAAAGAAACAGTATACACGTTCTGCATATCTGATATAAATGTGATCCCCTTCACCCATTTTGAGGTCTAGTGAAGTCTGCAGGTAACCTAAGAACCACTTCCAAGTAAGTTTGTTTCTTTATCAACAATAGCCCAAGCCAATGGATAAAAATGAATGGCAGAATCTTGACCAACAGCCACCAAGAGCTGACCTTTAGCTTTCCCTTTCAAAAATGTTCCATCCAATCCAATGAAAGGTCTCAAACCACTCTTAAACCCAGACTTCATTGCTTGAAAACAAATATACATCCTTAAAAACCTCCTTTTGCCTTCTTCAAGAGCATCTTTTGATAAGTTAATTATCACATCACTCCCAGGATTGCTAAGTTTCAGTTCAATGGCATAGGCAACAAGATTGTTATATTCATCTGAAAAACTACCTTCAAGTTTCTCCAAAATCATTTTCTTTGCCCTTTTGCACTTAGATTCATTAACATTTACATTAAATGCAGCTTTCAAGCTTGCCCTCATCTCTTTAACATTAATTTTGGGATTATCTTGCAAGCTTTTTTAAAATTGAGCAGCTATTGTATTTGCATCAACTCTTTGATTCTCAAATGCAGGTTCACATGTGTGCTCAGGCTCTAAAGTCTTGAATTTAACCCCACCCCCTGAAGAATCTTTAGATATATGAAAAACAAAGGGGTAGTCGCCAACAGAAATGTACCTAAGCCTTTTTGGATCACATTTAAGTTGCTGCAAGTCATATCCATTTGCAAGAGAATACATGTTGATCATTTTCCTAGCTTCAAGTATATCTTTAAATGTCATTGACCTATCTAACTCTTTATAGTTAGTTAACTTATCATTGATGTCCCTCTTCTTTTGTAAAATAAGTTGCTCCAATCCATCAGAACTTAATTCAAGAGAATCGGGAGAATCAGAATCATTTTCCGCACTTTCATTATCACTACAATCAATAGCAGCTTCAGCTTTTATTGTGTGTCACTCATTGTGAGTGATTATTAGGTACACCAATTGCTGGTTCACACTCTTCTACATCAAACAAATTAATAACATCACACTGGTCACTAACAAAGTGCGAAAAAGTCCTAATCCCAACATCCCCATCTATTTCATAGTATCTACCAAAAGGACCCTTTACTATTAGTTGTTGCACCCCTATATACTCGAACTTGGTATCATACTCATCAACTAAATCAGTATAAGAGAGCAAGGCAGAGTCATAGCCTTTCTTCATGTGCACATACTTCTCTGAATACAACAGATGTGGCTTACTAGTCCAATCCCCACTGTGATGAAAAACTAAGTCAACTAGCACCATCTTAAAAGGCTGTATAGTAACCATGAATAAAGTTATTACAGCCCACCACAATAAATGCATAAAGAAATAACAAAGACAAGAGGTACAAAAATAATAAATAAACATATAAGGGAAAGCCTGAATAAACAAAAGAGGGGATAAATAAAGGGAATAAGGAAAAAGGTACAGAGGTAGATGAATAAAGAAACAAAATTGAATGAGGTACTACGATAAAGAAACAGACACAAGCATGTATATGGGGGACCACATAATAAAGTATCAAACTTAGTGCCCCACCTCAATAAAATAAGCACAAAACATATCTGTAAGAGACCCGCATGAGCATCATCTTCAAAGTAAATGCAGGCGAAACAGGGGACCAAATAACAACAAGTCAGCTATTAATAAATACTTCAAATCCTTTTTTTCCAGTTAAATACCAACCATATGAGACCCTTCTTTAAAAAATAAAAGGGACCACACATACTTGAAACCCTAAATCAGAAAAAGTTCTTTTAAAGCAGAGTAATAATAAACCAGATATCATCAATTCCACCAATATACCCTAACTGACCAAAAAAATAGACAAAAGAAATTAGGGTATAAAGTTGAAAGTCACATGCAAACACAAACAACGACAAAAACACAGATAAAGCAAAACCCTAAACGACAATAACATATCTAAACACATAATAGTGAAATCCTTAAACGACGAAGCATAATCTAAAAATCCTAACTTTAACAGAAATGAAATGTGAACCCTAAGACAAAAATGCTTCATTTATAAACAACAAATATATAAAAATAGCATAAATGTTCAGATTTTGGGGGAAATCTTACCTTGGACAACATTAACCACTGAAAATAAAGGATTTTATTTTGAACCTTCCACGCTCTTCTCTCTCGTTTCTATAGAACGTATGCAGACCAAATGATCCTCTTTGTCAATTTAGACGGGCCTAACTTATTTATTTAGTGGGCAAACGGGTCACGGGTCATGGGTGGGAGACATGTGATGTAATGAGGTCTGTGGGGTTTTAATTTGGTGGGGTCGAGTGACTTGGTAACTGACATGAAAAAATTAAGGGGGTCAGCTGCCACGGTGTAGATCCGTTAGGGTTAGGGGTAATTTTAAAAAGAAGATTAACGGCAGGGGCTAGATTGGACGAATAGTATAATGGGCACAAAAGTAAACAATATAGTATAGTAGAGGGTCAGTTTTGGACCTTTTCCCTTATTTGATTGCTTTTGCAAGTCAGGCCAAACTTCAGACGAAAATATCTGAAGTTTTACTTTGATAAGGTCACACTTCAGGCAAAAAATTCTAAAGTTCAAACTTAAGACATAAATTTTTGCTACTTTAGGCCCCGTATGCTTGAAGTTATGCGAAAAATGGATAGACTTGTAACTTTTTGTGCAAAATGGGTATAAGTTCAATAGTTACCTCGAAACTAGATATAGATGCAAATGCCCCTCCCTTTTGGTAAATACACTGGATCTATCATTTGAATATTAATATTGACTTACATTAACCCTTTTCATTATTTATAAATCTAATTGTATGAAAATAGATCTAAATTTTGGGTCATACACCTCCACCAAAATTTTCCTCCAAAATTTTCCTTCTCCCTCTCTCTGCAATTGCTGCTTAGAAACTGTCATGGCAAGATGCTGTTATTCATTAATCCAAAATAGGCCACAATTGAAATACAACCGGTGGCCCAGAAAAAGACTATTTCTGGCAAGTCGCTGCACTGGCTTGGCATCATTTTCAAACTTTGACGAAATTAATATTTTCTTTTTCCAAAAGATTTGACGGAATTAAAGAGCATTTCTTTTCTGTCCAAAAAATGAAGACCATTTGAGTTGACTATGTCAATGATCAACGGCGCTTCAAAGTACCTTCCAATTGTTTTCATATAAAGACTAAAGAGGTATCCTTCTTCTTCACCAAATTTCTGCAGTAATTGCCACTGCTCTTTCTCTCTCTCTGTAAGCAATTCTGAAGCTTTGTCTTTGTTACTTTTGCTGTCAAATCCTCTTCTTCTTTAGGTAGTCTCAATGATGAATTCTTCACAATTTGCATATATGATGCCACAAATTTTAAATGAGGAGGATTTTGTCAGTAACTAGCTAGTGTTTTGGATTCATTAACTTGTTCCTTCCTTTATGTTTGCTAATTCGACTTGGATTTGTTAACTTATAAAATCTACTGAATCTAAAAAATAGTGTGTTCTATTATGTCAATGGTATATATCATCTGTGAAAGTTCACAAGAAACTCCTGTTTCTTGACTATTTTATGGTGCTTGTTGAAATTCAATAGTAATGGTAAATATAAATGAACAGTATGTGTAATTAGAAGGTAGTAGGGAGGGTATGATGGTTCTCTTAGCCATCAGGTGCCACTAAGGCAAGTGATATTGAGAGGTAATAGTGGAAAGTATAATGGTTGGTGATTTATCCTTTCTACATACAGCATTTTCTACTGTTTATCACAATTACTCACCAAAAATAGGAAGATATTATATGCCTGAAAGAACTGATATTTGTAAGTTATGATTATGCTCTCTCTATCTGATGGAATCTTGAATGTTTTAGAACTATTGCCATTGATGCATCTAGCAATGTGAGGGAGTGTATCAGCTACCAATACATAAAGCATAAAGTTTGGGGTACAGCCCCGATACAATCATAACAACCCATAAAACGGATGCTATCACTAGTACAATCTAAGGTAGTCCATAGAGCGAGCAGAGTTCAATGCAAAATGACTAAAATACTACAAGCAAAGCAAAGCTCAAGGGCTCCCACGGATTAAAAGTGTGGCTCACCAATATATCCCCCTCAAAGCCAACATACTTCTGCCCTCACGTGGCGTCTCAACACTTGGATCTGTAAATGTAAAGGAGCGAGTCTATCGACTCAACAATTAAATGATAACTACATCCAAATTTAAGAGACAAGTTAAAGACTTCAGAAACCGTTACCACAGTCTATATACACAATCGCATCATGCAATCAAGTATATGGAAATATATCTCACGTAGCTCCATCTATGCACATTAACCATTTCCATATTCAAAGTACTCTAAGGTTATAATCATTACTTACTTTTAACCTCTTTATTAGCCCAACCCTTGATAAACACCACTCTACTATGCAACATTGTCTATGCTAGAAAAAATAATCAGAAATACTTGGTTAAAAAAAAAAACAAATTGGCCAACTCATCAATAATCTAGCATCGCAATGCTTAAAATAAGGTTAGAAATAAACTCCAAACCTGCCAGTAGTCAAACTCCATTAATGGAATAAACCTAAGTGAGATAACTCTTTCTAAGAATATAATTGATTTCTTACCTTGAATTCTTATGGGGAATCTTGATGGGATATTAGCCCCTTCGACCCCTCTCCGCAATTCGATGAGCTAGAGCTTATTTTATTTGTTGCTTCTTTAGCAAAAGCAATTCTCTTTCCTGTGGACCTTCCTCCATTAGAATCAAGGGCATCGGGTCTAGCTCCACTCTCTCCCTTTACTGCTTAGCTACCGCTCTGTGGTTTTTTTTTATAAGGTAAAGTTTTATTAATGAAGGTACCAAGATGGTACAATTACACCGGACCAAAAACGCTTACAGCTCTGTGGATTAGTACCTAAACCTTTGCAGCCGCTGCTGGAAAGCTGTGTCCAGAGATAAATCCTATTTCGGATAGTGTGAGTTAAATGTATTTTTCCCATCCTTAGGTCGTGCTAACATTGAGAAAATAGATTGGGTTTGTGGTTTATATAGTAGAGAGTTAGGACACACTTGAAATGGCTAAGTACCCTCCTCCAGAAGCTTTTGATGCGACGCATCAAGCTTTTCATAGAGTTTCTTGGCCAAAATAACCTCTGATGCTTCACATCAACAATTTCCATTTTGTCGTGGGTTATCCCTCAGTAGTGTGCACCTTCATTGAAATGATCATAACTTTGTGCAGGAAAGTCCTAACGATGAACGGTTTGAACCGTTGGAAACTAGACTTCAAGGGTTACAAGTTTTCTTCTTAAATTATTAACAATTATTTATAGGTTAAGACTTGTGCATCTTTAATGTTAAGGCATGTTTCACTTGTTAGCATAGGTACAAGCTTCCAACTCCTCTTGTTTCCGAAGCACTCTTAGCTTAATACAAATAACACCAGCACATCAAGCACACTTACTTTCTAATGCTGTATATATATAGTCAAGAACGGGACGGAGTGTTACAATGGGGGACACACATTTTTCAAGATTAATTTTTACACTAATTCATGTGCCTAGTATCATTTTTTCTTTTTCATGCTCTTTTTCAGCTGGGTACCAGTCAGCAGTCATTTTACTTGATTTCATATTTTTCATCTTCTTAAAAGCCAAAGAAGAATGGAGAAACATGTGGTAATCCTCATTTTTACAACTGTAATCATGAGGCTTGGATGCCTAGTACAATCAGATGCCTCTACACATCGGTATAAAAGTGGAGAGGAAGTGCCTCTCTATGCAAACAAGGTTGGCCCATTTTTTAATCCCAGGTAGATGCCCTAAACATTTCCATCACAATGTGTTTGTTGCTTTTGACTTGTGTCTTTACTTCAGTTTGTGTCAGGTAAATAATTTTATTTATTAGTTTAGTTCACCTGCTAAAACAATCACTTCATCAACACTTCCGCATCACGTAAAAACAAGGAAATTCCTGTCCCCTTCCCCAAAAATTCCACCGTCCACCTAGTTTCTACTTGAAGGCACTTTCTTGATTGCACCATAAATATTAATTGATCTGACTCCTACAATTATTTTCTGATCGATTTTATTGGTATAATATTCACTTTCTGCTTGAGATGGATACTTGGCTCTGGAGCAGATTTTGGATCTATTTTCTACCTGACTATAAATCTGCTAAAACCCGTGGAAATGGTCAGTGATAGAAAACGAGCACAATATATATTAATGAATTAGATTATCTCTTTGTGGATTAAAATCAGGCGGTCATCAAATGCCTTAGACAATCTTGTTAGGCATTTTCATGTAGCAAATACAACAACAACAACAACAACAACCCATTGAAATCCCACTAGTGGAGTTCCCAGGGTAGTGTGTACGCAGACCTTACCTCTACCCCGAGGGGTAGAGAGGCTGAATTTTCGATAGACCCTCGGCTAAATTTTCATGTAGCAAATGAAATGAAATATTTCTCTAATGTTTCTTACTGTTAATATTGTTCATTTTTCTATTGCAGTGAAACTTATGCTTATTACGATCTTCCATTTTGTCGACCAGGTTTTCTTTTTCACTTTTGTTAAGTCCTGGATTGTCTATTATGCTGACTAAGAATCCTCTATTCTTATCGCACATCACAATTTCTTCTTTCGTTCCTTTCTTTTGTTTTTGTCAATCTTCTCTTAAGGTTTTCTAGTTAATCTTATTTGTTACCTATTGTGCTGAAACATTGGCAGATAATTTGGAAAAGAAGAAAGAATCTTTGGGTGAAGTGTTGAATGGAGATCGCCTTATATTTGCTCCATATAAGCTCGAGTTTTTAGCGGACAAAAAAGATGCCAAAGTTGTATGTAAGAAAAGGTTGACAAAGGAGGAAGTTGCACAATTCAGAACCGCTGTTGCACTGGATTACTACATCCAGATGTACTATGATGACTTGCCAATATGGGCCTTCATTGGGAATATCGATAAGGAGGGAAGCTATGACCCTAATGAGTTCAAATATCACATTTATACGATGTTTCACTTTGAAATATTTTACAACAAGGACCGTGTTATTGAAATTAACCTTCGAGTTGATCCGCATGTTACAGCTAATGTAACAAATGATGAGGAAGTTGATGTAGAATTCCTGTACACAATGGTGTGGAAGGCGACTAACACCCCATTTGAAAAGAGAATGGACAGATACAAGATGTCTTCTTCTCTGCCCCATCACTTAGAAATTCACTGGTTCTCAATTATGAACTCATGTGTGACAATTTTCATCGTGATGTCATGTCTGGGAACAATTTACATGCGGGTCCTGAGGAGAGATATTTATAAGTAAGAAGATGTATCCTCTGTATTCTTTCACTATGATATAGTTTGATCTTAGTATCAGACTAAAAATACTCCTTTTTGCTCAATCTTGTGAAGGCTTGCGCAGGATGAGGAATGCTCTGATAACCAAGAAGAAACTGGGTGGAAAAGCCTCCATGGTGATGTCTTCCGGTACCCAAAGTGCAACTATTTGCTTTCTTCAGCGCTTGGTTGTGGAACACAGCTGTTGGCAGTGTCAGTAATTTCTGAGATCATCTTGTTTTAAGTAGAAGCAGTATGAAGTATTTGTGAAAATTATGCTCACTAGAGATTCTTTCTTGATCATGTTCCTGCAGAGTGGTGGCCATTCTAAGTTTAGGCGTGCTTGGTGTTTTTCAACCGTATGATCGAGGAGTTTTGCCCACTGCTTTGATCATAGTATATGCAATAACTTCTGCAGTTGCTGGATTTTCTGCAGTATCTTTTTATCATCAGCTCGAAGGAAGCAACTGGGTATGAACTGCAGGATTGTGCCTACCTTAACTCTTCTCTCAAATTGAGCTCTTAATAGAAGATTGTACAGATAACCTTATTATCTTGTTTTTGGCATGGCAGCTAAGAACTCTATTGCTGACGGGAGGAATATTCTCTTGCCCCTTGTTCCTAACCTTTTTCTTCCTTAATACTGTTGCCATCAAATATGGGTCTACTGCAGCACTTCCTTTGGGCACGATTGTGGTTATATTTCTCCTCTGGGTTTTGCTAGCATTACCTTCACTTCTGTTAGGTGCGTTATCTGGGAAGAGAATAAGGTCTGAGTTTCAAGCTCCTTGTCACACCACAAAGTGTCCTCGTGAGGTTCCACCACAGCGTTGGTACAGGAGTATCATAATGCAAATGGTATTGGCAGGAATTTTGCCTTTTGCTGTCATCTATATAGAGCTGTATTACGTATTTGCAAGTGTTTGGGGTCACAGGATATACACAATATATAGCATTCTTTTTGTTGTAGTCATCCTTCTCCTGATTACTACTGCCCTTGTCTGTGTTGCTATGACGTACTTCCAACTTGCCGCAGAAGATCATGAATGGTGGTGGAGGTACGGCCTTTCTCATCTTACTACTATGATGCTTTTCTTCCTGAATATTGCCTTCTTTTCATAAGGTGTAAATATCATGATCTCCTAATCCAAAGCAGATTGATTTGCTCTTGAAAAAGGTACTGATGGGAGGATTTCCACATCTCTGTTTCGCTGAAGTTTCTGTGTCTTCCTTTAGTTTGTTCTATTTCTATATTTGCCAGTTTATGATCGTACACCGTCAGTGCTCTTTAACACCATATGTGCAAATTCACAGTTCTAAGATAATTTTCTTCTTTATTCACATAGAAGCTCACTTGGTAAGAATCGAAAACTTTGCTAGAAAGGCTTGGGTTCGAGTCTTTTCGTCAGCTGTCAGCAGTTCTCTTGGTGGGTGATCCATAAATCTAATATAAGTTCTCATTTACGCCGTGGCATGCCATGGCACTGGACTGCTGGTAATCTCTCCTTAAAACTTTTTGTGATAACCGAGAAATCCCCGAAGGCTAGTGGTTCACGGTTTGAAACTCGATACATAGGATTTGTCTGTGGCAGAGTCGAAACCAACGACGTGCGCCTCACCCAAACATCACGTGATGTGCTCTTACTACTAGACCAAAGCCCTGCGCCCCTCACTTAAACTTTTAATTACCAAAAAAGAATAAAAACCTTAAGAGCCTCATGCTAGTTTTTCTGTTATTGTATTGGCTCTTCAAAGCTGAGTATAGCTGATGTGATACTTAAAAAAAGTTCCAGGATTTTTGACCGATCATCAGCGTGATTCTAATTTTCTGTTGAATTGTAATTTCTTCTTGCATCTGAGTCTTCGTGGCTCATCCACCTGACTGTTGGATGAATGGTTGTCATTGATCTAATACCAAGGGGCTGCTGCCTGATAATGCTATAGAAACATCGTAGGGGGAATTCCTCACGTGAAAGAGTGCTTTGCTTTAGGAGTGCTTAGAATATGTTCCTCGTCTTTCTCTCTCCTAAATTTTGTTTGCAGTGCTACTGCCTACGCACTAAAATTTTAATTTCTAATTTTGTTGTCTCCATTCTAATCCTTGTCTCTTGAAACAAAGCCAATAGCGAGCATTTGTCAGAATTAAGTGCCACAGATTGTAGGATTTAGTTTAATTTGTGATTATTTCCAGCCGTACATCAACAGGAGAGTTCCCTAATTTTCATTTGCTTGTATTCTTTTTCCAAAGTGTGAACCTCCCACCTCTCTTAGAGAATTGAGGGGCTTGACCAAGCTCTTTGTCTTCATTTACTTCTATACATTCTGAAGACTGTGAGTAGATTTTTCTAAGTAATCGAATATCGAAGTCCCCCTGAATCTCTACCTTTCTGCTACCAGTTGTACAAGAGGTGCCGGAATCTTGGCCTACTTTATAATGGTTCTTGAGGATATCTAATTTGACCATCTTAGCGATTTAGCTTATTGGATAGGGTCGACCTTGACCATCATATATTCTTTTATTCCTTTAACTAGAATTTCAACTTGTCATTGGTTATTACTACTCTTTTTCCCTTTCCTCTCCCATGAGGTCTCTGCTATCCACCAAATTCTTCCCAAGGAAACTATTAACAAAGACCAAGACTTTGTATCAAAGATTTTGAAAATGATATCTTTTTTACATATTGGCATCATGTTCCCAAGATTAACTAAAAAAAGGTCTCATACGGTCATCGCTAGGGTTTGGTGTGGCAGAAAAGCACTAATTCTTGTTGACATAAATAAAATGGAAACTATACAGTCCAAGAAAATTTAGTCAAAAATATTTATACATAAGAGAAACACAAACCCATCAAGAAATTAAAGTCAAAGTGCAGATGATAGAAGTCAATTTCATACAAAACAGAGCATCTCATCACAGGCCAGAATAAACTTCCAAGATTCATACATAAAGATGGCCATTAAATCGTTTATAACTATCAAGCGTAAAAAGAAGAACCCATGAAAGAGACGTTCTTAGAATCACGCAGAAAAAAGAAGAAGGAGAAAACAAGGGAAACAAAAACAGATTACACACATTGGAAAAGCAGAAAGACGAAAAGAAAAGACAAAATTAAGAAATTATTGATAGAGAAAACGACAAAGAATCGAATCGAAGTTACACATGCAATCACAATTACATGATCAGATATAATTAAGATGAACAACTTAGTACCTATAAATGCTTGAAAGTCAACACCGATTGTTATGCATTTGAAATACTTTGCTATGTCTTTAATGGCTGACTTATTGCTCACTTGAAACAGGTCTTTTCTTTGTGGTGGATCGACTGGCTTGTACTTATTTGGTTATTCCTTCCACTATTACTTTACGCGGTCAGACATGAGTAGTTTCATGCAGACCTCATTCTTCTTCGGATATATGGCTTGTGTTAGCTATGGCGTCTTTCTCATGCTAGGCGCTGTCGGCTTTCGTTCCTGTTTGCTATTTGTCCGTCTCCTATATGGCAGTATCAAATGTGAATAGCTGGTTGCTTTCAAGAACATCCTTTGCTTGTTTGAAGAAAGTATTCATGCCTTATCTTTCATAGCTAATAGTTCAGTTGGATTTCGAAGTCAAGAATCAAAATTTTTAATGTCTTTACATTCTGGGATGTTGGCAAAGTTTAAGAAGCTGTTCTGATTTAATTAAGGACACAATGTACTTTAAATGCGAGAACAATAAGATTTTCTTATGCAAAGTTTAGCTCAATGAGTGAAAAATAGTTAGTTTTACTCCTTGAACTAGGGCCTTTACTAGTTGCTAGCGTTTAGTGTAGTACCCTTGTGTTGCCAGCATTCCCAAGTGGAGTTAATGGCTGAATATTCAGTTGGTTTATAGTTAATCTTTTTATAACTTAGATTCTTCGATTCGGTGGTAGGTTTCAAAGATTCAGTTAACCGAAGTTTTGTCATATTGTACACAGGTAAATTGCATTTGTGCTTTATATTACTACCACCAAAATTCCTTTAACACTCTCACTTTCTTGTTCTCTTTCTTTCGTGCCATTGCAGAAAAATTAATAGCCAAAGTTGAGGAAGAGATAAGTAACTTAAGGGATGTAACCAAAGATCTGTCTCAACAAGTGAGGATGTAGAGTAATAAGTTAAGCATTCTGGAAAAACCAATTTATCAACAACGATGGCTTAATATGGGGGCCTCAACCCATTCAACCCGCCCAATCCGCCTAAGGTTGGGCCGCTCATTGACCCAACCAGTGCTGAATTCAGCTTATCTTGATCTGACCCATCCCATCTTAGCCCATCTAAAGTTGGGCTGATTTTTAGCCCAAATTGATTTATGAGCAACTTCGCTAAAATATCTTTAAAATAATTCTTTTTTGTTTGGTATGTATATGATCATAACAAAAGAAAAAAAAAGTTTTATTTGGTAATTAAACAATTCATAAGAAAACAAGCAACCAAAACTTTGCGAAAATCTACAGGTAATCGATTACCTACTTCACATCAATCTCCTATAGTTATCAGGGAGAAGACCTTGCTTGTCAATCTTCCAAGATTGACTGCTCAAGCATAATCTTTAGACACATCTCCCAACGAAGTGGTCATGGATTATAGCCATAGTTTAAACAGTGTGGCTCATTCTTCACAACCTCTCTCTTGCGGATTCATTGAGGCTGAGTTCAGTAATGGAGAACTCGAACTCAAACACCCAAACCCCAATCACCGACCCACTAATACTCTCCTTCACACCACTCCCACCAGAACACACGCCGGACTCTTGGCTGGAGTTGGCATTACCGGGGACAACCCAAAAATTGCAGTTGATGGTGGGGTCGGTCCCCATGAAAATCGCAGTCCAGGACCCTCAATACTTAGCGAGGCTAGCCACACAGCTTCTACATTAGGGCCTGGCAAACTTTGGACACCAGTTGTGGATCTCCACCTTGCTCCAAGCATAGTACATAGGGACACAACAACCATTGTCCAAGGAGGAGATCAACAACCTAATGGGCCACCTGTGCCAGTCCATGCCCTTCTTTCCTCTGATGAACCTGGAGGCTCCACCATCATCACCCAACTTCACCCTGTGGCCACCAATAGCCCCGGTACCCCCTCCCCCGCCCCCCCACATCATCATGTCCACTATCTCCCATCAACCATCATAGCAGGGGACTCAACAACACATTGAGTTACCTTAGGGAATCCAATGTAGACCTGGAAAATCTCATAGAAAAGCTGAGGTCCGAAAAACAAAAGCATTCCTCATTCAAGAGCTACTGGAAAAAGAATTCAAAGAGCCCTTGGGGGGAAATGCTTATTGCTCTATGCCCCAGAAAGCTAACAAACTGCTCAATAGATCTCCGAGTGCCCTTATCTCAAGGCTCAGGGAACTCAGTATTATCCCTAAAACTCATGTTGGGAATGATAAAGCCAACCCCTGTGGCCAAGGGGAAGGAAACCAAGAGGAAGGCCCCTACTCAAAATCCATTATTAATAAACTTCATAATATGGAATGCTAGGGGTTCCAATAGTGATGAGTTCCGTAGGCACTGTGCCTCCATGGTTAAGATTCACAACCCTGCTCTACTGGTCCTACTTGAAACTAGGATGGCAGGCCACAGGCACCTCACCACTGAACTCCAGTTTGATGCGCAATTCCAAACCCCCTCGGCTGGCTAGTTTGGGGGCATTGTGCTCATGTGGAAGGAGGACTTGATAAAGCTGGAGGAGGTGTCCAGCTCTCCCCAAGGGATCCATGTCATGGTCCAGGTAATTTGCTTCTTCCAAAAAATGGCTGTTTTCTGGTATTTATTTAACTGATAGAACTAGACTTTGGGAGCTCCTAGAAGACTTAGCTTCTGTTTGTAGGGGTAGCTGGCTAGTGGGTGGTGACTTTAATGAAATTCTGAAAGCTAGAGATAAATTAAGAGGTAATTGCTTAAACTTCAACAGGAGTAATAGATTCTCGCAGTGCCTCAAACAATGTAAGCTAATAGACCTAGGATTCAAGGGCTCCAAATACACATGGACTAACAAAAGATATACTAGGAGGCAAGACCTGATCCTGGAAAGACTGGATAGATTTCTTGCAATTGATAGTTGGATAGAACTCTTCCGTGAAACAACTGTCACCCACCTCGCTAGAACTCATTCTGATCATTTTCCTTTTCTCCTTAATCTTATGAGCAACCACAATACCTCACATAACAAACCCTTTAGGTTTGAATCTATGCGGCATAACCACCCTGATTTTCTGCCCATTGTGCAACAAAGCTTCTCCCCTGAGCATGAAGTCCATAGGACTACTGAGATCTTGAAAAGTAGGGTAACTATATGGAATAAGCATGTGTTTGGCAACATATTCCACAAGAAAAAGTATATTCCTGCTAGATTAAATGGTATTCAAAGGTCTAACAGCTATCCTTTTAGCACCTTTCTCCATAGTGTTGAAGCTAATCTCCAGCAAGAATTCAATGTTATCCTTAATAAATAATGAATATGACTTTTGGAAGCTTAAATCTAGGATTGACTGGCTACGTGAAGGTGATGCCAACACCAGGTTTTTTCATACTTCTACCCTTAACAGGAGGAGGAGGAATAGAATCCTTTGTTTGAAAGATGAGGTAGGAAACACAATCCAGGAACCCCAGCTCATCAAGCAAGCCATCATTAAGTATTTCACCAGTATCTTCTCCACTGAGCACCTTCAATCTAGTAACACCCCCTCCTTCAGGGTAGATAGGCAACATGTCCTAGATAACAGAGCCTAGCTAACCTTGAGTTCCCCTCTTAGGTTGTCTGAAATTAGTTGTGCCCTAAAATCTTTTAAGCCCATGAAGGCTCCAGGTCCTGATGAGCTCCATCCTCTCTTCTACCAGAAACACCAGCATATCTTGGCCAACCAGATAAATAACTACTGCATGTCTGTGTTTTCATCTAGCATCATGCCCCCAAAGGTTAACAAAACATATCTTTGCCTAATTCCCAAATGACCTAATGCCACCATGCTGAGAAACTTCAGGCCAATAGGGTTGTGCAACACCATGTACAAGCTTATTACCAAAATCATTGTTAAAAGAATCAAACATGTCTTTAACAATATCATTGGCCCCACCCAAGCTAGCTTCCTCTCCAATAGAAGAGTTGTTGACAATGCCATTGTGGTTTAGGAATACATTAACCACTTTTAGAAGATGAAAGGAAAAAATGCTAACATGATCTTAGAAGTTGACCTTGAGAAAACATTTGATAGGTTGGAATGGTCCTTCATCAGGGACTCCCTACTCTACTTCAATTTTCCTGATAGACTAATCACCTAGATTATGTCTTGCATCACTACCAGTTCCATCTCTGTTCTAGTGAATGGTGACAAGACCAAAATTTTCAACCCAACCAGGGGCATTAGACAAGGGGACCCCATCTCCCCTATCTCTTCATCATTTGCATGGAAAGACTCTCTAGGAAAATAGATGAGGCTGTTGGAATCAATTCATGGTTCCCCATCAGCATCAACAGGAGTGGTCCCAAGATATCATACCTATTCTTTGCTGATGACCTGACCTTATTTGCTAGGGCCAACAATAAGAACTGCCATACTATCTTAACAACACTAGGGGAATTCAATAATGTATCAGGACAGAGGGTCAACTTCGTAAAATCAAGGGTCTTTTTCATTGCCAACTGTAGAGAGGAATGGGCCAATCATTGTAGCTCTATCATGAGCATTAGGACAGGCTAAGCTTTTGGCAAATACCTTGGCTTTCCTGTTCTCCATAAAAGATTCACCAGCAGTGACTTCCAATTTATTTTGGATAACCTTAACACCAAGCAGGCTGGTTGGAAAATAAGATTCCTCAATATGGATGGTCGCACTACTCTAGCTAAAGCTAGCCTAAGTAGCATTCCCAGCCATGTTATGCAGTACATTAAGCTTCCCTCTAAAATAAATAGCTAGGTTGATAAATAAAGGGATTTTATATGGGGCACTACTTATGAGAAGAGAAAGCTCCACATGGTTAATTGGAACACCATTACTAAGCCTAAGAACGGGGGTGCCTGGGGATGCAGCAAGCTCATATGAAGAATAAAACTTTCCACACTAGCTTATCATGGAGAATGTACAATAATCTGGGCCTGAGTGCTCATGGGTAAGCACTGTAATGGAGCTGGCAGGAGAGGTAGGCCCAAAACTAGAATTTGGCAGTGCATTCAAGAGGGGGGGAGAATTTGTACTAAAGCCTCGAGATGGGTTGTCCATAAAGGTATAGGGTCAATTTTATGGAGGATAACTGGATCCCCAACTTACAGCCTCTTATCTCTATCTTAAGAGGGCCTTGGCAATTGATAGACTTAAACAGAAAAGTTAGTACAGTTCACAGTAATGGAAATCGGGACCTAAACTCTTTGAGCTACCATTCCCCTTGACATCCACCATTATCCAAAGCACCTTCATTTCTCTGAATGCAAAGGATAATGATATGCTCATCTGGAACCTCACCCCTTCTGGCATTTTCTCCTCTAGGTCAGCCTATAACTTCATTGCTAATAATTTTAAAAGCAACCATGCCTAGGAGGATCTCTATGGAAGCTGAAGGTTCCTAATAAGATCAAAATCTTCACATGGCTGATGTACCAAAAAAGACTTCCCACTGGAAGTTATCTCCATCACATTAGCCTGAATATAGACCCTAAATGCTCATATTGTTGTGGGCATGCAGAAGACATTAACCACATCTTTTTTTATCGTCCCAATGCCAAAATATTCTGGATAAACCTTGTCAATGCCACCACCAATAGCCAACACCTCCCCCAAAATTCTTTCACAATGCAAAAAATGGGAGGATACTTGGCAAAGACTTCAGCGTATCCCCATCAATGCCTGTATTGATTGGCGA